CCTTTCTTTTTTTTGTTTTTAAATTTTTTTTCAACGTTTTTATTTATTTTTGGGACAGAGAGAGACAGAGCATGAACGGGGGAGGGGCAGAGACAGAGGGAGACACAGAATCGGAAACAGGCTCCAGGCTCTGAGCCATCAGCCCAGAGCCCGACGCGGGGCTCGAACTCACGGACCGCGAGATCGTGACCTGGCTGAAGTCGGACGCTTAACCGACTGTGCCACCCAGGCGCCCCATCACCATACCCTTTCAATAGGACAGCAGCCCTTTTTTGGGACTCCATAATCTCAAACTGGGCCAGCGAGGGTCCCCAAAACCACAGGTCAGCCCACAAAGCCCAGAAGGTTCGGGGAACACACTGGTCCTTACCAGACCGCAGTCCGCATTTTTGCCCGTTGACCCGACACTTCTCCCTTCCTCCCTGGCAACCGGCGGCAACCCCGAGCCAGGTGGCTCTGCGCAGAGAAGCGCGTACCGTCTCTGGAAAGATTCTAAGGGTCAGGCATGCCTGTTCTTTGCTCTTCTCCCTCTGGTAGCTGGGCACAGATGACAGTTAGTCTTACGGCACAGCAGAGCCTGGGTCCTTGAATCACCTCGAAGAGAGCCACCCCCTGAACAGGAACAGTCCTACTTGGCGGCAACTGAAAAGTGGACTTCTATTGTGTTAAAGCCACTGAACCTTCGAGGGGCTCTTTGTCAGTGCAGGTGAGACTATCTTAACATGCCCACAAACTACTTTGTCAAGAGGAGGTCCTGAGGGCCTTGTGCTATAAAGATCTCCCTTAGGAACTCTGTACACTCTTGCTTCTTATCACTGATGGTGAGAACCGTGCCTCACTTCGCAAATAATACCGTGAATCCAGCCCCCGGTAAAATCCGTCCTTAATTTCAGATTAGTGGCATTCACTCTAATGACGTTCTACTTAAGTCACGGTCACAGTTGACCTGATTACTGGGTTAGGAGAGTGTGGACGTAGACACAGGTGGGGACAGAGCCAATGAGACGCGACGACGGGGGACACGGGTGGGGGCTGAGCCCCGGGGCGGGAAGAGCCCCCCCACCTCACCTGACTCGCGCGTGCGGCCCCGCACCGCCTCGCTCCAGGGCCCGGCGCCGATGGCGTTGAACGCCTGCATCTGGAGCTCGTACTCCGTCCACTCCTCCAGCCCCTCGATGGTGAACTCCCTCTCCAGCCGGTCGTTGATGACCTGTGCCAGTGCCTGGGGCCGGAGGTCGGGGCGCCAGTACTTAATCCTGTAGCCCACCGACTCGGGGTTCCCGTTGTACTGGGAATCGGGCAGGGGCTGGAAACAAACGACACCCGGGGTGAGCCGGCATCTCCGAACTGCCACCTGTCAAGGCCGCCAAGCCTGGGCCTGTCTTATGAGGCCAATTCCTTGGAAAATATTTCCCGCGGGGAACACGCTTGGAACCTTTACCGCGTTTTGTCCCCCCAGAACTTTTCTTCCGTTAATTAAATGAAACCCTATCAGTAACTTTGGCTGGACGTAATTTCTTTTAATACATCTTGGCTTAATTTTGTGGGGGAAACATTCTGAATAAATATCAGGCTGGCTCTCTTACAAACATTGAGTATTGGCTTCATGTTGACCCAGCTTAAGGACTTACAGGTCCAGCTTATGGCACCACTGGTTTCCCTCCCCCAGAGAATATTCCTCAGTTCCAAGAAGCCAGTGAGTGATGCTGCTAATTAATTAACAGGGTCTCCGGGGCTGGTCTGTGACCCAAGCCCAACGGGAAAACGCAATACTTTTTGGTTTCACCAAGAGGTTAGCTGTGACTAGGACAAAGCCGTGGCCAACACATCACTAAGCTCTGGTTTCACGCTAGGTCCTGGACACTGGAGATGACCGTCCCTGCAGCCAACTTCCGGCCCCCCAACTCACCACCCAGCGGAGCCGCAGGCTGGTCTCACTAGCAGTCCGCACGGTGATGCTGGTCGGAGCCACGTCCGGGGGCGCCTGCAGGGTCTGGATGACCCGGGAGGACTGGCTGAAGGGGCTGGCACCGACGATGTTCACCTGCCTCATTCGAAATCTAGAGGCAAATGGCAAAAGGCAATGTGGAAAGATGGACAGAACAAAAAAACCCACAACGTTCTCGGAAGGTGCAGGCGTGTGTCCCTCTGTGTCAACAAGGCTGCCGCTCAAGGGCACCTTCTTTCCACCTGGTTTCATTAAAAATGCAAATTGCGTATCTGGTCCTTTTCCCCCAAAACCTCCAAAGAATGGTAAATTCATTGAAACTCAGAGATGCTACATTCCCGAGTGCAGCGTAATGGAATGGGTTTCATGGCCAGAAATCTGTGTCGTCAGATGCCACTGGCTGATTCGAGTTTGGGGTAAGGACAGGGGGCTGGGGTTCAAAGAAGCAGTTGACAGAACTGGAGTGTCAGGATGTCACGACCAAATGGTGGCCTCGAGAGTCTGGTGTCTTTTCACTAGAACGGATGCCCTCACCCCATTCTCTGTCGGCTCAGGAGAGGTGCACTGGCCCCAGAATCCGCACCCCAGGACCCGAACCCCATTGGCAACTGGGACCCGAGGCAAATCAGACTCGTCTTCATTTCCTTACCTATAAAAGGAGAGTGGGGGCGGATGTGCTTTAGAGCTTGGTTGGGCTAATGTTTTCAGTTCTCTGTGATTTGTATGTCGATTACTTGGAGTGAACTTTTGTCCAATAAATGTACCCTGAGCAAACACGCATCTATTACAGAGTCTGGAATAGGACACGGACAGGGGTCTCTAATCACAGTTTCTGGCCTTCGAGGCAATTGTACAACTGACATCAATTTCACATGGAAAGCCTGGAGGCCCTGCAGCTCACGTGCGGAGAAAAATATTTCTCGAAAAGCGAGTGCGTGGTGCCTTGATTCATCTGCTCTAATCTGAGGGAGGCTGTTAAAACGAACAGAAGCTTGAACAGCATCTCTCATTAGGCATTTAGGAAAAAAAAAAAAAAAAGTAATGTCGGTATTATACTCAAAAAAAATGTTCTTTACAAAGATGTAATTTCACCTTTTACTTCTGAATTAGTCATTCTTAGTCTTTTACTCCCCGATCTTATGAAAAGTATCTGTCCTGGCAGAACAGTGACATTATCAAACTCAACATCTGGCGATAACTGGAAATTTCATCTTGGTCAATGATCTTACGGGAAGTTATAACATCTCTAACGGCTTGTGATCACACTACCCTTTGTTAAGGCCAAGGATTTACTGCCTGGATAGGTTTCAGGATCAAGAAGCAAAAGGTTACATGGCATGTTAAGTGCTTGATTAGTGAGGCCCGCAGCTCCTGGGCGTTGCAACGGGAAGCAGAGGATATTCAGTGGAAGGTGCTTTGTTTATATACAGACTGTCGACAGGCGCAAGGGGTCACTGGGCTTTGTGAAGACCCACGTGTGGGCTGCCTGGGGCTTTTGGTATTAAGCCTAACATAAGAGTGAGCCATCGCAGCTGGTGTTGAAGGAAGGAGAGCTGCTAATCTGGCCTCGGGGATATACCCTCTCTTGGAATCCTCCTGAGGATTCATGTAACATGAATTCAGGTAACATGGACTGTTACCGCTGCTGAGAAATGCCTCGGTCACATACACAGAGCTGGGTTTTGGTCTTGCGAGCTGAAGCCACCCGCTGGCCTTGCCAGCCCTCCTCCTGTGGCGGTCTAGCACCCGAGGTTCTCACCTGTAATGAGTGTAGGGTGTGAGGTTTGGGATCTCCAGCGTCTGGGCGTCAGGCTCATTCTCCTCCTCGTAGAGGCTGACCCACTCCTCCTCCTCTCCGATGGCTCCAACCTGTGGGAGAGAAGATCGTGAGAGGGGACGGAGGAGCCGCAAAGCGGATGCTGCCATTTACACCGTGTGCAACTGCCTGGTGCGAGTCGCGCTGGGCAGACCCACCCCGTGTCCCGCACACGGGCAGGTTAGTTGAATCTTGCACACACCTTCGGTCTAAGCCTTGGAGATAAGGCTCCTGCTAAGTCCAAGGTCCTGCCAGGGTCAGGACCCAGAGGGCGGGGCCTGAGGGTGAAGTCTCTGGGGACAAACGTCACGAACCTCACACCATCCCGTCCTCCCTCCTGCTTAACAGGTGAGGATGCAGAGACAGGCCCAGAGAGAAGACCTGGCCAGGATCCCACGTGACCCCACGTGGCCGCATGTCCTCACTTAGGGTCCAGAGCCATTTCCACCACACGATGAGGGGGGGGGGGGGGGGGGGGGGGGGGGACAGAGTCTCCGCCCACTTCTGTCCCAAACACACACTCTTCAAAGAACCTTTCGCGGAGAAGGACTGGCTGCTGCCCGGGAGCCAGACCAGCAGGCCAAGTCAAGAGACACCATGACCTCACACCAACCAGGAGAGCCCTGACTCCACATCCCTATGTCAGGCACTCTTGGCCTTGTGCAGGCTGTGTGGCTCTGGGGGACCCAGCGGACACACGTGGAGGGAAGGCTGGAGCACAGAGGGAGTTTCAGGCCAAACGTGCCGTGCCGAGGTGGGTCATTCCAGGGCCCTGCGCTTTTAACACTTCATAAAGGTGTCAAATGACACAAATGAGCAGAAATGTGCTCGTTAAGCTTGCAAGTGGCCAGGGGGCTGGGGGAACGGCACAAGAACCCAAAATCTCGGAAAACCGAAGGGCGGTCCAGGAGGGCGAGGAGGAGCCTGAGCGGACACAGTGCCGACAGGCCCGCTTCCTCCAGAAAGCTAAATGCAGACTCGAAGCTCTAAACACCCCATGTTGAAAGCACGGAAAGAGTCTGGCCGTTCCTCGAGAAGTTAAACAGAGGACGACCATATGGGCCAGCAGTTCTGCTCCCAGGGGGAAGCCCGGAAGCTGGTCCTCTAGCAGGTACACGGGTGCACGTGTTCACGGCAGCTCTGGCCACAGGGGAAGGCCACACAGGGGCCCGTGGGCGGACACGTGGATCAACAGCTACAGTGCCCCCGCACCCTGGACTGTGCAGCTGTAGAAAGGAACCTACAACCTACAAGGTGGGTGAACCTCGAAAACATGATGGTAAGTGAACGAAGCCAGACCCCAAAGGCCACATACTGTACGACTGCATTTCATGCAGTTCCCAGAATAGGTAAATCCAGAGTCAGGAAGCAGATCGGTGGGTGCCAGGGGCCGCAAGGAGGGAAGGGTGAGTGACTGCTTCACGGGTACAGGACTTCCTCTCGCGGTGATGAGAACGTTCCGGGACCGGGTGTTGAGCAACATCGTGAACGCACTAACGGGTGAACTGTGTACTTTGACACGGTTCACTTTATGTTACGTGAATTTCAACTCCGTTTAAAAAATCAAAAATGTTAAAATAAAAGGTGGGATGACTGGTCAAAAACGTGTGGTGGAGAAAGATCCGGAGGTCAGAGTCGATGCATGGCCCGGGAGTCAGAAAAGCAGCAGGGTAGTCGAATGGGCAGTGAAATCAGGAAAAGATGATGGAGTCGGCACAGCTGGGGACAGGTGGGTAGCCTCCAGGACCCTTGCGCCGGTGGAGGCTAGTCTCCCCCAGTCATCAGCCCTGGGGCCCCCACCGGAGCCCGCAGAGACACAGAGTTGAAAGAGGGAGAGAGCAGACGTACATCGAGGATGGTGCACAGAACGCCTGTGTTGGAGAAGGGAGGGTCTAGGCTAACCTGGGTTGGAGGAGCTGCAGAAACAGACAGCACTAAGTGCCCCCAGGGCCCAGGGCTGCCACCGGCCTCCTCCTCTGTGACTCTGATGTGGAAGGGGCCCAAAGGGGAAGACTGGCCAGTACTGACCATGGCCTGGGTCCGTGCAACGCGGCCGGGCAAACGGAGGCGAGCCCCCGCCGTGTGGTGTCAGGGAGCGCACCAGTGTCCACTCAGGAGCCCTGCCCGTGGCCCGGCGTCCAGCCAGGGGCAGACCCTGCACGAATCTGGGGGGTGAAGGAGGGGAGCTGGCAGATGAACTACAGGGCGGAGGAAAACCACAGCTGTGCCCCAGACTCGGAGGGTCTGCCGCGGCTCTGCCCCACGTAGAGGGGACCACACTGTCTGCTCAGCACCGTTCTAGACGTTAACAAGATGCAGGCACGCCTCAAAGTCAAAACGCTAACAGTTCAGCCGAACTGTACTGAGTGTCAGGAACCCCCTCGATCTGGGCCTCACGGCAGGGTGTCGTGGTTTCTGAGCCTGAGGCGACAGGTGAGCTCCTCTCCGTGAAAGGGACCCTCGGGGGACTGAACTGCAGCACTTGTACCATTTCTTGTAAGACAAGTTTAGGGGGAAAAAGGGAAAGGAGGATGAAAGGAAAAAGGGAAGAGATGACTTCGGTTTTAGGAGAGTCAGTTCAAGACCTTTTATCTCCTGTTTGAGCCCCTACGGAGACGCCTCAGAGGGTGCTGGGGAGCAGGGCGGCCGGCGCTCGGGGCACCGAGTGACGGAGGCAGGTGTGGGCCGTGGGCACCTGCTCACCACCACCAGGAACCGGGACACGAGTGCTGCCCCGGAGCACTGTTGTCCTGACGTGTCTGTGCGCATGGAGGGGGGACACGCACGGCGAGTGCCATTTATGGGCCAAATGCCCAGGCCCCACCGTGGGGGCCCCTGTGCTTCTGCGAAGGCACTCCTTTCTGCTGTCTCCCTGTCTCCCCAGCCCCACCCCTCCAGCCATGGCTGCTTTATCTGAGCTCCCGGTGTAGAGAAATACCCCGGGCTAAGAAACGACAGGGCTCGGTGGTAGCAGGCTTTTGGCCTCAAAGTCTGGCGTGTTTGGATTCCATCTGTCTGGTTGCCTCACTGGCCTAAAGCATTCATCTGCCGGCCCGGTGACTGCCCTGACCCCGTGGACGTCACTGGCCTGAATGGGCACCGGGGGCTCGGAGCGTGCCCTTGGCCGTGCAGCCGCTGTGGTTGCCGGGGCTCAGCACACGGCCTCAGCGGGGTCGGCAGGGGTCGCCTGCCCTGGGTTTCTAGCCTGTTCCGCTCACATGATTGAGAAGACGGGAGAGGAACTGGCAAGGCCTCCTTATACGCTGCTGGAGAAACACTGCAAGGCATCCGTGGAGGTTGCAGAGGCAGGAACCGGCTGGCGTGGTTCCCCGGGGGCCCCGGCCCGCAGCTGCATTAGCCCCACGGCTGGGAAACGTGAGGGGCCGGCAAGATGACACCCGCTTAGCGTTCCTGGGAAAGAATGCCACTCCACACTGGAGAGCCTGTGCAGAGAGAGCTCCCAGGCCCTGCCGCCATGTTCCCAGCCATGCCTAACACGCCTTCTGAGAAGGTCACTATGGGTCGAGTGCAGGGCTTCTGTTTTGCGGAGGGGAGCCTCCGGCTGTAGGGCTAGGATGAATGGATGGGGACACCCAAGGTCACAGTTCCCTGCCTTCCCATGGAATGCTCCGTCTCCTTTTTAAACAACCTGGATTTGAACGGGTGCCAAATTAGCGGCGAGCCCAGGTGGGCGCCGCGTGGCTCCATTTGGCTCTGCCCGCCACTTCTCCCTGCAAAGCCAGTCTGTCATTACCCGGAGGCGTCACTTAGTCGCAAACACCTGCACCTTGCAAAGGCTCTTCCCGCCCTTGAAAGTGTGCCCCCTCCCCACTCCTGTCCTTGCAGCCCATGAGCTCCTCTAGAAGCTGCAGGGCGGCCGGGGCTTTGGGAAGCATCCAGGAACGCCCCTGCCCCCATGCCACTCATTTTGCCCTCTCAGGGCATCTTCTGTGTCCCTGAGATACA